GAACTCAGGGCAAAAGGTTAACTTGCTTTGACACGGCTCCAATTCAAATTGTAGAACCAAGCGCCCCTGCTTGTCCCAGGTCGTCGGCCGTGTCGTCGATCACAGACACCCCGGACATTTGACCTTGAGGCGGGCGAGCAACTGTGTCACATATATCCGCGGACAAGAGGCAGCGTGTTGAACACACGAGACGCTCCTTGCCTGTTCGCAGTCCGCAGGCACGCGGGCCGGGGGGGGGGGGGGGGGCTCCCGCTATTCTGAAGGAAACTAAAGGGAACCAGACCAGTCTACCGCCAGTTGCACATGAGCTCTATGAGCTTGCCTTTGCAGTAATAGTGTATCAGCTTTCGGCTCCTAACATACACACTCTGACTCGAACACGACCGGGTACTTCTTTTAGGGAAGCCCCTGCCTCCCAAAGTAAAAGAAGTGGTTTTCTGTTCGGTTGGTCCTTTTTGTGGTTTCCAGACTAAGCCCTTTCATACAAGGGGGATGTGGAAAGCAAATGCCTAAACATTCTGGACTCAACATCCTCAACATCGCTCTTGCACAATGAGCACCACCAGTTCATCATCACCGGCAAACGACCGAAGAAATTGCAAACTACAGGCATTGCTGGTTGGGGAAAGGACCATGAACATATTAGAGGCAAACCAAAGGGCCCCACTCAAGTCCTGCGGGGACCTTTCTACATTCCTGGACAAAGGGGCAAACGAAAGGCCCTTGCTCGCGTCTTGCAGGGACTTTCTCCAGATGACCAAGCAAAGTGCAGTCTACAGGCGTCTGCAGCTGGGGAAGAGACCATCAACAAACAGAGGCAAACCAAAGGCCCCTACTCAAGTTCAGCGAGACCTTCCTACTTTCAAAAAAAGAAAACACTAGCAGCATCAGCAGGGCAGGGCTTGATTGCGTTAGCAGCACCCCCACTTGCGGCCTGTCCAACAACAGCACACATCCCCGGCTTGAACAAACAAAGGCAAACCAAAGGCCCAACTACTCAAGTCCTATGAACCCTTTCCAAAGGAATCAAGCAAAAGCGTCAGGAGGGAATATAGGAAGTTTCGTGCGCCCAAGAAAAATGTGTTTTTGTTGGTTGGAGACTTCAACCTTGCGGCATCGAAAATTCGATGCCACTCTTTGAACAGAACTGGGTCAGTAGACAGCAATACCAAACTAGCACCAAGCCAAGCAGAACAGCACTGGGCCAACCCAAAGCAATACCAAGGCGATACGAGGGCAACTCCGGAAGATATTGGAAGGCTTGGGCGCGCCCCATTCCGACCCCAGTTCGCGCCTAAGTTCGCAAGGGGCTTGGCCCAATTTTGAGGGGCTGGTCTTTCTTCAGCATCCGAACTCATGCGTTCAAGTACGCGCTTGTTTCTTGGGACTCAGTCTACCCAGAAGGCTGTAATGTGTTTGGCCTTTTCTTGCTTCCCGTTACACCATATCCACCAAAGGGGGTTGGATGCAAAATCGCGTTGTCCATGTTCTTGCGGCTTTCCGCCTGAAAGGGGGAAAAGGGTGGGCAAATCAAAAGCATAAAGGACCCGAAGCAAATGAATATTGCAAGTATGGGAAGAGAGGGAGTAATGAATCATGGGATGACACGCGCAGGAGTTTCCTGTTCGGTCTGAGAAACCAAAGGGAAACCACGCAAAGGGAACCGCTACCCTTTTGAGCGCCCGGCTGGCAGGCCTCTCGGCCTCTCGCTCCGGGCTGGCCGGCACCTGATGCTGCCAACAGCCGGCGTGTTGGACACAAGAAATGCTCCTTACCTGATAACCCGGTGATCTCTTTTCGTAGACTAAATCCTTTCACACTGGGGGTGTGGAACGCAGTTGCGTAAAAACCTTGCGGTGTTCCATTCCCCCCCGGGGCCACTGTCCGATGTCCCCATCCTCAGTAGCACCAGCACAACATTACCAGCATCGCAAGCGCTATTCCGGAAGGGTCAAATGAAAGGTCTTGTTCGTGTCTCGTGGCACCTTTCCCAAGTGACCGAGGAAATTGTAAACAAAAACCAACAGCCTACAGGCCTCTTGCGTTCGCATCAGGCCATGTTCGAAGTGAAACCTGAAAGCCTCTCAGACAGAAGGCCAAGCGACTGTACCTGAGACTCAATCGTCAAAACTTGGGCTTCGAACAATATTCTTAACGATCACTCGGGATCCTTACGACCTCTTGGGTGACCATCCCTGTTGGCACCAAGCAAAGGGGTCCAAACAATGGCACATGTCTAAACACCGCTGGCTCACAGCCAACATTCCCCGCCCCTGCCCGAGCCGCCAGCCTCAGTGGACCTGGCAAGAGACGTCTTTTTTGGAGGGTACCCCTTTTTCGTACTTTTAAAGGGAAACCAAAAGGGGGGGGGCCCAAAAAAAAGACACACCAAGCTGATCCTGACCATTGGCCAAGCACAAAACAGTAATTGCTCTATTCACACTTGGGTTCAAAGCATGGGCTACGGTTGCACCAACAGTGCCAGCAACATGCAACGCGCTTTGGGCAGTCCAAACCCCTCCAAGCGGCCTATCCCCATCGCCGGGCGCAGACTCCTGGCAATTCCAGACCTTGGGCCACTCGCACTCCGCAAGAACAAATGACAGGTGATCCGTGTGGGGCCCAGGCAAAAAAACAACTTGCGCTGTCTGGACAGCCCGGCGTCCCAGGCCAGGGAAGATCAAACATCCGGAAGCCAAGACCAGGTCAAATATGGTCGGCCAACTGGACAGCTGAGCCAAGCAGCAACCACCCAACCTGCTAGGATGACCACCAGAGGTTAAACTGTGCTAACAAGTGTTGTCAATAAGTCCACGACGTAGGACTAACCTTTCATGAGAAGCCCAGACACCGTGCCATTCAAAATCTCCACAGGGATCCACGGCATCCATCCTACGGATTTTGACCAGGAGATGCTCTTGCTCTTACATAGTCTAGATTCCTTCAAAGCATGATATGTGATTGATGATTTGCTGGACATGGTGGAGCACCAAGGCAAAATGGCCAAACAGGTTAGCTTCGTCCAGTGAAAACGGGGCATCCCGGGGACAGCCTACCTGAGGTGTCAATTCATCAATACCATGCGCTCCAGCTCGCGCATCTCTGTGGGGATGTGCTTTGAGCGACCCTTCGACTTTGAACTCCACAGTGCGAAAGCAACCTCCAGCACACCTAAAGGAGAAACAACATTTTGTTTAAGGGGCTAGGTGTCAAACAGCCAGCCAGTGGAGGAAAATAGCCCAGATGTGTTGACCCATGTATGTTCTTTCCCCTGAAACAGGCCACTTGCGTGGGATTTTTAATAGGGTACGCTTTCGTGGACATCATCTAGGGGGGGTTCATGTCCACCAATCGGTTGTGAGGTGGCTCCCTATTAAAATTCATAGCCACTTCAGGTTGCTTTTGTTGTCTGTCAAGCCCTGACAATCAGACTCCTGCTCGCGGGAGAGCAGCGGCAAAGCAGCAGATTCGCCCTGCAAGCGGCTTTAGAAAAAACGCGTCTGGGGCCATGTCAAAACCTGTCAAAGGGCCCATGGCCACGGTGATGTCGCAAACTCTACCTCAAACAAACTTCAACATTTGAAACTCACAGCTTTAGTTCGTTGGTACCTATCAACAGCGCTTGTTTTTTGGAGCGAAAAGCAAGAGAAACATGAAAAGTTAGTGTGGGTGCAAGAGAGCAGCATATGTTTAGAATAAGCCGCTCATCAGACACTTCAAACTCACTATATATTGGAATCATCGGTCCCCATGGCTGTACGCCGGCCAACACTGTTTGGGCCCATTTTGCGGTATGAGCATGGCAAAAGAGCCAAAAGCCAAATAGCTTGCTAGTAGCACGCAATTAGAAGCTTGTTGGAGTGCCTGGGAAACAAAAGGGGGGGCACCCCTGGGGGGAGGCACTTTGGGTCTTACAAATGCGCAGACATTAGATTCATTTGGATGTTGTGGTGGTTTTTTGGATTCGAGTTGTCCCCAGGACCCGCTCACGACAATTGGGCCTAGCGTTCCGAGAGATTTTGCCAACCCAATGCCACCAAAGTAGACGCTGGATACTGCCTCACGAATGCTTGCTGACTCTGGGCCGGGCAGAGTTCAGGATTCGTACCAACTTTTCAAATGAGTGCGTCCTTCTGGGCGACCTCGGCGACCTCGTCGTGCCTTGGCCTGAGGCAAATTGTGACCAATAGAGTTGCCGGTGAGTCCTGTGACAAAGAGTAAAGGAAAGCCGGCACATGCTTGCTCGGGACTATGTTCAAGGGTACATTCTGGGGGTGGGGCAAGCAAGATCGTCATGTTGACTCCGGATTGATAAACCCCTGGTTGACTACTAATCGGTGTGAGTCCCTTTTTAGTGGGGATTCATCACTTTTGGAGGGGAACACCAAAAACAGGACAGGTCTACTCATCCGGGGTCGACATTAAGCTCCTGAGCCCCTGACGGTTCCGCCGTCGGCTCCGCCTCTCCAACCCTTAGCACGCCACTTGGAGAAGCCAATGTGCGGCCAAAGTTCCATGGCGATTTCACTGCAAAAACATTTCTCTCGCTTGTGCGGCCTGCGGACTGTTGTTTGTATCAGTTTGGCAAACGCCACATCCAGACAAGGGGTGTCAGTGGGCGCGATACCCGCAGGAAAGCTGCACTCCTCTCAGGCAGTGCTTCGCTTGATCCAGCTGGGATTCATTTGTTCCCTCAGGCTCGTTGCCTCTCAGGCAGCGTTCAACCATGGAATCCGAAACGTTTTGTACATCACGATGGAACGTGTGCCTTTCGAATCAAGGTAACCCATTTCCCGAGCGACCAGAATAGCCCCGCAAATGTCAAGATGATCCACGGATCTCTGTGCATCCTCCGCTACCGAGCTATTCCCCATGCGCCGCTGAAATCCCTTGCCATTCCGGCCACTTTCTACAGGGAAATTGTGTCAGAGGGTGCTCCTTTTGTGGAGCCGCCCATGTTACAAAGTCCTCGTGGAGACAAGGCCAGATCGCAGGATGCCCAAGAGTCCCTCGCTCTCAGCCCCCCGGCCGACTTGCCGGACTCGGAGAGTCCACCTTCGGGCGGCGAAGAGGCGGCTTCCAGCAACCACTTTCTGGAGGTTCGTTCGGGCATTGACTTCAAAGAGCAACCACTTCAAACCCAAAGCACACAAACTTCCTCTGGCACGATCCCACTGCTACACCCGACCCCTTGGGGAATTTTGGAGGGAGGCCAGCTAAAGATAGCGACCAGTTCCTTGAGTCGACTCCTGTGAGCCTTCCGGATCGATGGGGTCGCAAGCAACGGAAACCAACAGGGAAACCTGAACGGAGCACGACCTATTTGGGTTTGTGTTTTTTTTGGTTTTTTTTCTCTCTTTTTTTAGGATACCCTTTTTGTGGCTGGTTTAAAGGGAAGCCAAAAGGAAAACCACCAATTTTGGGGGGGTGCCCCCTAACCTATTTGCCTTTCGCCTATGAGGAAGTGCAGGGGGTGGTTATGTATTGGCTTCTAAGAATAACTACCCACAGTATTGTGGGATGAGGGTGGCACCAAAGTCAGTGATGTCATTCCCCACATTGCATTCTCAAAGTCAGGTGGCTGGGCTGGTCAGAACAGTCGGGAAAGCTTCCTCCAACAGGGACTCCGCCCTCCAGAAACACGTTGGCATCCTCACCCCAGGGAATTGAATCTTGGCTGTTGCCAAGGGAACACCCAGAATCCAACTCTTGCTCCACCCAAACGTGTGTTTGAATTCTCTCTGAGCTACTCAGCTCCTTGACGTTCCAAAGCAAAGCCAAGAGGTCGGCCAAGTGTTCAGCCCGCGGAAAATGATATCGGGACCGGTACCCAAGCTGAAGCCCGAAGTTTCATGAGTCAAGGGAACACAGTAACTCGGTAGGCATCCACGTGGGACCACTTCTCAACGCGCCTCCGCTTTGGGTGCCGCCTCAGAGCCAAGGCGCTCTCGAAAGAAAGTGGGTGTCGGTTGACACCGGAAACTTGTTGCGTTGGAGGGAAACATTCACTATATTTCTTGGGGTCCAACTGGAAGCACCGAGTGAATCAGCAGAGAGTGTGGAAGAAACTCACTCCCAAAACCTGCGGTGCCCGAATCCTTTGAGCTAACGTGTCCCTTCAAACATTGCACTCGTTGGAGGAATGTGATACACGGGCAGCCTGTCAAGACCCAACGGCCAGCTCATTTCAATGCCGCTGGACAAAATCCGTTCACCAGTTGGGACGGATGAAACTCTATAAATACTGGGATAAAACATCTACCAACTGGTGCGAAGCGGATTTAGGCCGCTGTTGCTTTGAGGGCACGTTGAAGCCCGGGCACCTCTGGTGCAAATGGAAGGCGGGTGCTTTTGAAGTGTGGAGTTTTTGACCAGACAAAAGCAACCCTTCAAAGTAGCTGGGAACCCCGGATTAATAAACTCCTGGTTGTTTATTGGGGGGTGTCCCCTTTTTGGTGGGAGTTCCTCACTTTTCGAGGGGAACACCCCCCTATTGACGTATTGATACGGTGTTATTCATCCGTGGTCACACTACAAACAAACTTGCCCCCCCCCCGATTTGGGTTAAGCCTCCGCTGACCACTGCTACCTCGGGGTCCGACCGCACTGCTGCCGCATCCCATGGCGTGGGCGAAAGGCGGCCAATCCCCCCGGGGACTAGCGGAGTCACGAAACCTTTCTGAAGGTTCCAAGTCAAAAACTCCACGTGCGTTTGTTGCATTTACTTTCTCTATTAGAAACCAACCCAATGCAAATGTTCTATTAACACCCAATGCAAGCAAACTTTTACTTCCAAGGCATGGTCAACAGGCGTGATTGATGCTCTTTGAATCTGCCAAGGGAACTAGCTCGTCTTCCATGTGCCTGGCGTCACCCCCACACCCCGAACTGCATTTGGCGACTGCTTCGTGGATGCATGTTGCCACATCAAATGGGATTATGGGATTTCGGGCTTTCACTTGCTTAACACCCAAACACCTGCTATGCTCACATGAGAGCCCACAATCGGCTTTCAAGCAGCAACTGGCGTTTTCAGGTGGCTCACCTCCGTTTGCACTGACCACACAGGTCTTCCCGTTGGACAGTGGGGGCGGGCGCGTGGCGCGCGACGTGCAAAGTGATGTCCCGAGGCAGTCCAACCACTCCTCAAAATCGGGGCGCTCCCATAGGTTGGCTTAGAGCTTTCGTGGGACTCCCCTGCAATTCCAGCATGTTACATGAATCGCCAAGCTGAGGGACCACCCATCACAGAGATATAATCACGGGTAGTATATAGGTCATCTTGAACCTGGCTATGACTTGCAAATGTCACTCTCACCGCAAAGGACAAGGCTCTTCCCTTGCAGTAGCATTGCGCGTCTTGTTTTGCAGTCTTCCCCGACTTGGTCTAGCTGCTCGCCTTTGGAGGCTTCTATCAGGCGTGCAAAGCCGATAAACGGTCCTTGCCCCAGAATCATGCTAACACCGTCCAGTCCCAGCGACTGGTGCATCCAACGGAGCTACACTAGAAATGTACATCTCTGTTTGTGTGCGTACCATGGCGGACAAAGTTTGCCAACAACAACCCCCTGAGCTGAGGGGTTTGAGAGAAATCCCTGCCTGATCTTTATCAGGTGTCCTCTGTATTTTGCTTTCTGGGATTGATGCTTCGCTGGTGGTGATCTGGAGGGGCCAGGGAGGCCTTTTTGGTTGGGAAATGACCACGCAGGGTTGCTCCTTGCTCCGTTGACCCTGACACCTGCGGCGCAGTGCCTGACGCGAGAAAAAAAAAGAAAAGAAAAAAAACGAATGTTATTCTACTTGACCACTTGAATGAGTTTGAAGCAACCCTGCAAAAGCGGCAGGCTTCAATGGCGTTCCGCGATTGAAATGACCCCAAAAGCGCTGGATCAGTCGCCCTTGTCGCCGGCTTTGACCTTGCTTGACGCGGGCGGCTCGCGTTGAAGATGCTGGAAGCGCAAAGTCTTTTACCCTCAAAGGGTGAAGTTCTCCAAACATTGAGCGTAGTACGTGAGCTCCGTTTGGCTGAACAGATTGTCTCCAGCAAGTCTTTTCCAGGCAGGCGAGGAAGTCATTCCTGGAATAGCTCCAAGTGGGTGTCTCTCTCCTTTTAGGGGACCCTGCAGAATTGTGGGTGTTTTTTCTGGTTTCCCTTCAAAACCCACCAAAAACCGGGCACCCTCAAATGAAATCCCTCGGAACTGCCCTGAAGACAGGTCCCGAATCTCTCCAAAGAAAGACTCCCCCTGGCCGCGTCTGGGCTGCAAGGCGTTCTTCTTGGCTTTGCCCAGCCTCGGCGACGCTCGGTGACTCGACTGGAGGTTTCTTTTGGCGGACGTTCTTCGGTGCTTTGACCTTGACCATGACTGAGACCCCTTCCTTCCGGAGAGCGGGCATCCTCACCGAAGCGACTCTTTGGGAAACTGGGCTTGACGACTTGAAACCCAGAAACCAAGTACCAACCAGAAGGGTGCTTGGGTTTCGCCCGCCGGAGAGTTTAGACAATCCACCTACGAACCACTTGCCTGACGTACCGAATCAATTGCCCCGTTATATATGCCCGGCGAAGAAACTTTCTCCAGGTGCTGCTGGTGCAGACGGACGCGTGGATTTGCAACGGAGCTCGCGAGCTTCAGAAGCAATTGGTGAGACCGTGGTTTCCAAACCTTCCGGGTGTTTTTGGCGGGTACAATCTTCTAGGCTAATATGGAAGCTCCCAGAACCCCTTTGAAAGACTTGGTTCCATTTACAGAGGCCTTCTGGGAGCTTCCATGTTAGTCTGGGGAGTGTCCGTCCTACTGTGGCCGGTTGCGAAATCCATTTCGCCACCTAAGAATTCCTGACAGAAACAATTTGCTTTTCGGTTTGCAAGCGCTTCGTCCATCCGCACTATTAATAGGGGGGTGTTGCCCTATAGTGATGGAACCTAAGCCAAGGGCACAGCAGAAAGGGAGCCAATGCCTCGGCCTGGTAGGAAGCTACCAGGAGTTCCGGTTAGGCATGGCGGCATGTTTCTGTGAACGCCATGACGTACAGAAGTTGGCAACTCAGCTGATCAGAGTTTTTATTGCCGCTTGATAACGGATCCTTTGGACTTTAACTTTTTGGATGAAACAGGTCGGATTTTCTATTGGACCCACAAGTTGAACTACTTGTTGCAGAGGGGTCGTTGCAGCAACCAAGTTTTGTCCACCATTTTTAGTGGCCCCCAAAAGCTGATCACTGATTATTTCTGGGGGAACAATTCAAGCCTTCCCTAAACGAAAATTTGATGCTGAGTGCCCCCAAACAACTCAGTGGCTTAGATTCTACAAAATACGGTTCAAACGAAATCACCTCCTGAAATTTGAGTCACCATCTGAATCTCGAACCTTCATGTGTCAAGTCGTTCGTTGATTTTTCCCCCTGTCGTGTCGCTGCATTTTGGATGGGCTCTAGGCCCGGCCGTCAAAGCCGACAACCAGCTGGACAAAACTACCCCAACCGGCGTCTGCACAAAAAAGATATGCAACAATTCATCCGGAAACAGGACATTCAGGTGGGCACATGTCAAAATTAGCTAAAATAGGGGGGTTCCGCCCTTAAAATGGCAATTGCTTCCTTTTGGTTTTTCTTTACAACAACCCCCAAAAGGAGATACCCTCCTGTCCACTGCCATGGAATTGTCCTCCAACAGAAAACCCGTGGTTCCATGCAACGTGGACAGGGCACCCAAAAACCCACCAGCGCCCCTTCATTGGGCGCCCTCACTCCACGTTGCGCGCTCGGGAGGCAAACGTCAGCGAGCTCAGCGTCTCCGTGACGTTGGTCTGCGCCTTCCCCAAACATTTTGGGGGCAACGTGGGATATTGTCAACTCACGTGAGAGGAAAGTGACCGGAAAAAGTCTGAACTGCTTGTTTGCAACAAAAATGATCTTCCCACAAAGCAAGCTCGGGAACTTGCGGAGTGAGTCAAAATACAGGAAACCTACAAAGAGCGGCTTCCCTGGAAAAAGTGAGTCAAAATACAGAAAACCTACAAAGAGTGGCTTCCCTTTGGTTGCCCTAACCAACCTAAGGGTGCCGAGGCGCAACAAAAACACACCCAAGTGAAAACCGGTGTTTCAGCCTATGCTATCATCATCTTGGCCTGCCGATTCGCTACATAGGCAACTCACACAGCACAAAGACAACACGAAAACCAAGGGTCGAGTCGCTTTGGACCATGCTTCCAGAACTGGCGTCGCCTCCCAGAAAAGCCCGAAAGGATTCCAAGGAAGGCCTTAGAGAAGGAGCAAGAGACCAACATGACTGTAGGGCCAGATCTGCCAAGCCCACAGCCACGATTCATCCACGCAAAGCCTGGTTTTGAGGTACAGCCCCTTCGCTCGCCTTCTGGGGCCCTTGGTCCCCGCATTCCCCGCAGTCGAACCCCCCCGAGTCTCGCGACGAACTGTGGAGGCGCGCCGGCGAGCACTGGACGATCATCAGCGTCTTCGAGTCGCCGCCGAGGGAGTCCTGAGGCTGTGAGACTGACGCGGCAGGCCCGTGGGGCCAGGCGAGAGAAAAACGGGGCCGGAACCTGGATCCCGCCCGGGATATTGGAAGGGTGGAGCACCAAGAAAAGGCTTTTGGGCCAGGGGAAAAGGAATAGGCAAGATCCACAAGCGCAGCCGGTTTCTGGCGGAGAGACTTCTTCGGTCTGCAATCATGTGCATTGATTTTGGGAACCTCAGCAGGAACTGAGGCCAAAAGACCCATTTCCACAGTACATCCACCACAACCCCAAACAAATGCAGAACCTTGCGCCTTGTCTGGTTGGGATGATGGCCCCTGGTCAAAGCTCACGTAGCAGGCATATGTCCCCTCCACCCAAAAAACAACAGGCGCTCAATCCATGGGGCAGAATTCATAAGTTGTTGATCACAGGGTTGCCCAGTTGCTCCAAATCAACCTGTGGCATGTTCAGAATCCGAAGCAAACACGCGCATTTGGAGAAAGGGAAGTACAAAATTGCAAAGGGGCAGGTGTGGGTCTTGCACCTGCTGATTTGTGAGCCAGGATTTCCCAAAAGATCCAACCAGAACACCAGAGCCGGCAATATTTGGCAGGGGCGAGTCAGTCAAGAAACGTGTCGAGCCTGGCGAAATGGTTCCTCAAATCTCGAAACAGAAGGTCCAGGTCGGAGACGGAAACCCACGAAAATAATAGTGTGTGGAAGATGTGTATTCTCTTCTGAATGTCTGACTCGTAGCCCCGAGCAACCGGGCCTTGTCCAAGACAATCCACAAAATATAGATGCTTGGGGTAACCTGCCGGTTCTCAGTGGGCAATGAGGAAATAATTCCTCTCGACCATCCTTTGCGGTTTCTTTGCGGAGATCAACATTCCCCCAGGACTCCTTTCGATCCCCTGCGAATCATGCTGAAAGAAGCGGAAAGAAGCACAAGGTTGGGAAAACCAACTCGCGGGGATACCCGGGAAGCGGAAACCGCTCGGCTTCCCTGTAAAGGAAACCATGTCAAACAAGCATTGCCCGAGCAAATATGCAACCATACGTCTGCTTTTGCGGTATCCCTGCAAGTTTGTTTGTCTGAGAAGGCCCGTCCTTCAACATCATGGTGAGCTTCGAGTTCCTTAGCCGCTAAAGCAGGGCTTCAAGGGTCAACTGCTCAGTTGCACCCTGAAAGTTCCCAGCCCCTTCAAGACACATTGGTGT